GTGAACCTAAAACTACTCTCAAAAATAAAGTCTATTTAAAAAAAAAAATTTTCAGTGCTGCCCAGCAGACCTCACAAGGTGGGGTCCCATAACAGCTGCTGGTCGATGACCACCCAGAAGTCCAGGAGACCCACATGTGGGGGTGACCTTGGGGTGTTCCTAAGTGCTATTGGTGGGCTGGGCCTTGAGGTAGGTTATGGGGAGAGGGTTCTGAAATGTTATCTATGCAAAACCTGCGGCCAGATGTGAGCAGAACTCGCCTAGGACTGTTCCCACGCTGTGCTCCCTTGTCTCCTGGCTGAGCCTCTCCCACTTCCAGGGGCTTTTAAAGCTCTCCTGGGATTCCCAGAGGGAGTGGGGTGAAGCCTCCAGACTCCAGAGCCCACAGCTGCCTGGGCATGGCCATGCCCATCGGACCTCTGCTCAGAGCTCAGCACGCAGCAGCCCGAGAGCCTCCCCACTTTCTGGGGATTAGAATGAGCCCCCCTCCACTTTCCAAACATCAAGACGAGCCTTCTACCCTGACTTGGCCAGCCATGCCTGGCAGGGCACCAGCAGCATAGGACCCCTCAAACACACACATGTGTTTGACCAGCCATGCAAACACCTGCTCATGGCTTAGCACCAACCCAGGGACTTGAGAGGGGTGTGGAGGGTTCGCGAAGAGAGGCCAGGGCACTGACGGAGCCTCCAGGCAGCTACAGGTCACACAGGAGGCCTAACCCAGACCCCGCTGGACCGACCTGGTCATCCGGGAGGGTGTGGAAGGCCAGCCCCTGAAGGAGCTCTCGAGCCACGGAGAGCAGCCCCCGACTCCCCTTGGGACTGTCCCTTGTCTTTCTCAGCCTGTTTCCCCATGTGGCACTTCAGGACTCTGGGGCCCTGCCTCCTCCAGGGAGCCTGCCTGGCACAGGCGTGCTGGGGAAGACTTCTGGGAAACGCTGGGGGATGGGCCGTGGGGCGATGGGGATGTGACCAGGGTGCCCCCATGGGCTAGAGGTGTGAAAGCTGTGACACAGGCAGACCAGGACACCACCTGATTCACACCCCTTTGAGGCCTACATGGGGCAGCTGTTTCTTTTCTGAGGAAAATGACAGAAATTAGCAATTTGTGACTCAACTTCTGTTCTCAAGTCCCAAGATGCACAAGGCCATCCTCAGAGATGGGTCCCTCAGGTAGCTGTGGCTCCCAGCTGCCAGGGGCTTGGAGCAAGGTGGGGCCCACGGGGCCCGAGAGGCCTGCTCCTAGGGGGGAGGTGCGTCTGAGAGCTGGGACAGAAAGGGAGGCCGTCTGGCCTTACCTGGACACCAGGTAAAGGTGCTCTGAGTGGAGAATCAGCAGGTGTGGACCTTCTGCCACTGCTCTTTTGAAAGGAGTGACAGGTCAGGTCTGTGCCAGCATGGGGTCACTCAACTCTGGTAAGCGCCCACTGTACTGTGGCCAAGGAAAATACGATAAGCTCCCTACAGGGATGAAATGATTGTCAGACCATGTTGTGTGTCATCTGGTCCTGGAAGTAGGGACAGTTAGAGCCTCCTGGAAATAGTTGAGTGGGGAGGGGTGAAGGTGGCAGGGCAGGAAGGAGGAGTTGTGGGCAGAAAGTGTGCGCTGGAGAGGTGGGGGTCGAGCCGGGCCACTTCCCCCGACACACACAGAAATCAAAGGGCAGGTCACTTGGCTGTGCAGATGGTGAGTGACGCCTTAAAAAGGCAAGAGAAAGACAGAAAACGTCAGTTCCTGCTGTGGCCCCTGTGGAAGGCACCTTTGAGTTCGTGGTTTCTACCATGGGCAGTGGGGCGCCGGACGATTGTTATCTGCTTGTCTGTACTTTCCTGTATTCTCCGTATTTTCTGAGCAGAGTAGCTTGTTATATTTCCGCATCATTTACTTCAGCTTACATAAGTGCTCATGGCAGCAAGGGTCCCCCACTAGGGAGGCTGACAGTAGCCAGAATGGCTGTGGGGGGCGTGGAGAGACAGACAGCTGACACCCCACAGTCCAGAGGGGCGCTGGGGGAGGCCTGTGTGGGGAGGGGCAGCGGGGGCATGCTTGGGGGGGGCTATGGGGCCCGAGGTGATACACAGCTGGATGCCCAGGCCTGAGACTCAGGCAGAGCCTCGGGTGGGGAAAGCTGGAATTTTCAGCAGAGTCAGGCATGGGGCAAGGGGCAGTGCAGAAGCTCAGAGGAGGTGACAATGACTCTGCAACCCTGCACCCGCCCAGTGTAGAGATGGAACAGCAGGCTGGGGGCAGGGAGTGCTGCCTGGGGCGAGAGCCTCCCCACGACCTTCAGCCTTCCAAACACCAAGGCCTGGGTCCCTCCTTCAGGTCCCACAGCCTCTGTGCTGCCCTGGGGACCACCATCCCCATGTCAGAGGTGATCACATTGTTCCCTCCTCTGTGGGAGCTTGGTGAGCACCTGCAGACTGAGGGGCCATGGCTTCCTTCGCTTTGCAGCGCGAGGTTCCAGGGACAGGGTCAGAGGTTTGAGGAACGGGGTGGTGGACGGAAGCTGACCCGGGAAGGGGGGTCCTCCCGCTGCACACTGTCGGCCCGGGGGCTTCGGGTGCCCACACAGAAGGCAAGTCCCGGTCAGTGGGCCTGGCCGGCCTGGCTGGAGGGAGCTGGAGGGGGGTGGGGTGGGGAGGGCCAGTGACAGGGAGAGAAGGCTCGTGAGCGGGAGTGACAGTGAGACCTCTTGCGCCTCACGGTCTTCCGTTTTTGATTTCTGGAAGCTCTTACATGTGTGACAAACACCGAGGGCGGTCCCACGCGTCTGCCAGATTGTGGTTTTGCTCACGTTGGCTGATGACCCACAGACCCGTCAGCGTTTCCACGGCTGGATCCGGGCTTCCTGTGTGCCACCAGCCTGCAGTTCAGTTGGGCTTTTTTATGGCGGTGTGTGTGCAGGAAGCAGTTGAGAGGCAGCCACCTGTGCTCCCAGGAGGATGCTGGCGCAGCGTCAAGCCTCAAGCTGGCCCCCTGTACACAGAGGGGTGCTGCCCCTCAGTCCTGCCAGCCAGCCACCTGAACACGCTGCTGCCGATAGATGTTTGGGTTTCTACCTGGGGACCTGTGTGTTGAACCCCCCCGGGCCCCTCCCGTTTCCCAAGTGGCCTTTGATGCCCCACCTGCAGGATTTGGGCGTGTGGCCACCCACGAACAGGACTCCCGGTGGTGCTCGGCCCTGGGCACCCGGAGGGCGCAAAGTGTCTTCGGGGACTCTGGGGCCCTGCAGGCAGGCGGGTGGTCCTGAGTCATCACACACTCAGGTCCAGCAGGCGGGGATTTGAGGGGCCGGGAAGAAGAGTCTGAGATGACACCATGCTCTCTCCTCGGAGGGGCACAGAGACCAGAGGACATCCTCGATGCCCCCTTTGGCACCAGGGCCTCAGTTTCCCGCCTGCTCCATTAGCACCTAGCTCAGGATCCTGGCCTAACCCCCTTGGGCCACAGGCCTCACTGGGCAGCCTACTTCCCTGCATTTAGGACCTCATTGGAGCCACACTGTCTGACCCCCCAGGACATTTGTTTTGCATCTACATCCCCCCAACAGGTCCTGGGATGTGTCCAGAGAATGGGAGGACAGTGCCCAGAGTCTAAGTGGTGCCCTGAACTCCTGCCCCACAGACTCCCTGTGAGTGTGTAGCCCGCTGGCACCAGTCAGAGACTTCCGTTAGCCAATGTCGTTTATTGGGGATACCACCCTGGGTGGGGAGTATGCACAGCATACATAGCTGAGCCCCAGGTGCTGGCCCAGGAGCACCTATAACGGTGCAGGGCAGATGACAGGGTGATGAGGTGATAGGGTGCAGCAGCCTGGGCCTGAGGGCACCCCACTATTCACCCACCCCAGCGACACCGCTCAGATCTTGGCCAGGGTACAGTAGGCATCAGCGTGCTCCTCTTGGACAGGGGTCCTGAAGCCATCTCCCCCTGGAGAGGAGAAAAGAGCGAGCGGTGGGAGGTGAGCGGGGCCTTGGCTCTTGGGCAACGGGCGGCTAGAGACAGCAGGCACTCACCATGGGTCTTGGTGTTGGCGGGCAGCAGCCTGCAGACCTTGCAGTGCAGGAACAGGACCAGTGCAGCCGCCATGAGGACAAGCAGCCCCAGCCCCAGGCCCAAGCCCACGCCCAGGAAGGCAGCCAGCTCGGGTCCTGCAAGGAGGGGGCCGGCTGAGATGGCGTCCACCAGAAAAGGGGGGCCCCGACCAGGCCTGAGGGCAGCTCCATGCCACCCCCACCCCCCTTTCCATTGGGGGGCCCTGCTGGGGAGATGACAGGCCCCCTTACCCTTGGGGGGCAATGTGGGGGATGTTGAGGGTGCCTGTGAGGTCCTGAGCCAGGCAGTGGTAGGCTGGGCCGTGGGGGGCCGGGCTGGGGGGCCCTGGGTCTCCCCGGATAGGGTGGCGGGCAGGCGCCTGTCCTCACAGATAGCGTCTGAGCTGTTGCTGGCCGCCCTCAGTGTGTGTTTTCCTGCCAATGTGCAGCTGAGGGAAGCGAGGGCATCGATCAGGCCAGGCCCTCCCCCCAACTCCTCCCCAGATCAGTCAGATGGGCCCAGAGCTGGGACGGGACTGGGGAGACGTGGGGAGTGATGGGGTGCACACCGGGTCAGCTCAGGCAGCGTCAGCCTCTAGGACAAAGGCAGCTGAGGAGAGGGGCCAGGACCCTGCCAGCGCCCCCACCCCTCAGCCCCACCCTGCAGGGGCTCCAAGGCCACAGCTACCCCCATCTCCCCTCGCTCACTCTGCACCTTCACCCCCAAACCCCTGCCCACTCCAGGCGAGCCCTACAAGGACAAGACCTCACACACTCCGGGGTCCGGGGCTGGGGTCCCCCAGGCTCCCCACTTCAGCCCAACAGGGAGACAGGTGGGAGGGGCCGGGCCAGGGCTGAGCAGGGGGCTGGCCACCGTGGGGGGAAGGCCAGCGGCTTCCCGCTTCCAGCCCTGATCCCTGGTTCCCAGGCTCCCAGCAGGCCCTTCCCCGGAACTCCCTGCCCTCACCAGCCCTCCAGCCCCTGGGACACTCACTTGGTCCACGGTTTGCAGGCCTGGTTGTTCCCAGGGGAGAAGTGACCCAGTGGGCACGGAGCACAGTCTGCGCAACAGACAGCAGCACCGCCTTAGACCGCCTGCAGCCACCACGGCAGCTGGGCAGTGGGGCTGGGCACTGCCTCCACCCCCGAGGCCTCCAGAAGCCCCTCTCTGCCCACATGCCCCCCAGGCCCTGACCCGGGGCCCCACACCCACATCTTGGCATGACCTGTGAGGGGAGGGGCCCCTGGACCGGCTTGGGGTAGGGGTGCTGGGAGAAGGTGAGAGCGTGTGATGTGGGGGACACGTTTCTTTCTGTGGTTTGGGAGGCCCCCAGCTCACCGACTCCGAGCTTAAAGCTGCCTTCCCGGGGCTGGGTGCCCGGCGTGCAGCTGCAGACGGTATCCTGCGTGGTGCTGCATTTCTGCTTGATTTCGCTCCCACTGGCTGGGGACACAGTTGGCGGGCTAGAGGACCAAGCAGAGAAGCCACCACCACCTCCCCAGGCCAGCAGCGCCCTTGAAGCCTGGCAGCTTCCGGTTCTCTCCAACCTCTGGACAGCATGTCCCTCCTGTCCACATGGCCCCGGGCACAGCCCTGCGGGCCTCTGGCCTCCCTTCCCACGCTCCTCACAGCCTGTAGCAGGACCCTCCGTGGCCCCAACAGGCCATGTGGCTGACATGTGCTGCACCCCGATTCCGCGCGGTCGGGCCACCCCCCCCCCTCCGGGCGGAGCAAACCCCACTGTGGTTTGGGGTCTCCCTGCGGCTGGGCGGGTGGGGCGGGGCGCTCACCCCGGTTGCACTGGGTGCAGGGCTTGCAGGCTGCGGCGTAGTTCACGACCTCGTTGTAGAAGCCGTCTTCACACGGGCGGCAGAGGGTGCGGTGATCCTTCGTGCAGCGTCTCTCCATCCAGTGACCTGCGGGGAGGAAGGTGGCGGCTCCGAAAGCCCTGGCTCCAGGTCACTACCTTTCACTGAGTCCATGTGTCTCACGATACCCACACCCCTTCTCCACGGGCCTGTCCCCATCCCCATGTCCCCACAGGTACCCCTTCCCTACTCCATGGCCAGGCCACTCACCAGGCTGGCACTCGTGACAGCACTTGTTGCCGCTGGGGTAGGTGTTCCCGACACAGCTGGGCTTGGCCGTAGCGCCCAACACGAGCCCCAGGAACAGGAGCGCTGCACAGGGCGCCCGGGGCCGCTGAGCCCCCACGCACATCCTTGGTTCACGGGCGGGCGATGCAGGAGTCTGGGTTTTTCCTTGCAGGATGTGGCTATAAGGGCTGCGGAGGAGGGGCGGGGAGGGCGGGAGGCCACGGAGAAGCCAGCCCTCCCTCACGCGTGCTGGTCTCCCCAGGAGGTGGCATCCCTCTGACTGGCCAAACTGCCTGAACAGGGTGGTCTGGAGACCCCTCCACACGACTTGCTCCTGGGCACCACTCTCCCTGCACAGGGCAGACCCCTCAGGAGTGAAGGTGCCACATTCATGTCATCCTCGCCCCTCAGCGAAAGGCACACAGAGGCAGCACACTGGGCCAGGAGACAGGCCCCTCCCAGTCTGGACGTCTCCTGCCATCAGCGGCAGGGGGAGAGGTGGCAGTGCCCCAGGCCACACAGCATGATCACCAGCCCAGGTGTCCAAAAGCAGCTTGGACCAGTGCAGCGGCCAGCAGCTGTGTGAGAGCACGTGCAGGCCTCAGGGGTTAAGGTGTGTCCCCACACTCTCACGTTGAAGCCCGTGTGGCTGGTGATTAAGGTTAGCAGAGGTCATGAGGGTGGGGCCTGATCCCACAGGGCTGGCATCCTTGTCAGAGGGAGCGACCCCAGGACAGCACACGGAGGGAAGGCCACGCGAGGACACGGACAGAGGCCTTGAGAAACCAGCCCTGCCCTTCCTGGACCTCTGACATCCAGTAAACGTCCGTCACCTAAGCCACCGGTGGTATCCCAGCCTGAGCAGGTATCCCAGCCTGAGCAGGCCTCACGCTGTGGCTGAGCAGGCATCTGCCCGTTCCTGGGTGTGACGTGGCCGGGGAGCATGTGGGCCTTTGTCCATGTGTCTTCCACTGGCCCCATGTGCTGGGATATGTGTGGGCTGCTTCCGAGAGCAAGTTTGGGGGTTCCTGAGAGGAGGAACCATCGGTACCTCCTCGGAGCCCCTGGCCACGCAGAGCCGGCAGGAGGGCTGTGCCTCCTGTGGTGGCCGGGCCAGCCCTGCCTCCCAAGACTCTGGACCGCATCAGGCTCTCCCCACCCTTACCCTCCCCTCCGCCCCCGGGGCCTGGGAGCACTCAGTGTCCTCAGACGGGACCTGGGCAGTCCCAGGACAGGTCAGGAGGGCCTGTATGCCAGCGCCACTATGGTGTGTAAAGGGCAAAGAGCAAAGGCACACGCAGCCACACACATGTGCACACACAGCACACATGTCTGGTATTGCTGGATACCAGAGGCCGGGGAGGCATCACTGGGTTGTTTTTGTACCTTCTAAATCTTGCCCGCAGCGTTTAAAGTTACCTATTTCACAGCTAACTTACAAGTTTCAGGCCCAGGAGCCGCCCACAGACTGGAAATTCCCCGCCTCCTGAGAAGGGCAGGTAAGAACACCAGTTCCCAGCCCACCTTTGGGAAATTCCACCTGGGCACCCCACTGGCAGGGGCTGCAGCAGGGTCAGCCCTCTGAGCCTCCACCGTGAGAGGGTCCACACGGGGAGGCGTCAGGGTGTCCCAGCAGCCCAATGTGGGTGCAGGTCCCGGCTCCCACTGACGGTGAAACATCTTTTCTGGCCAAATAAAATGTAGCCTCTGAGGCTGAGGTAACTCGGGGTCCAGTGGGCAGCACTCCACTCTAGGGGTGCCCCTCTCCTTCCCTGGGGCCACCTGCCCTCTGGAGGTGCTGGTCTCTGTTGCCTGAGACCCCACACGGCTGCTATATATCAGGCGTCGGCTCACAGGTGACCCAGGGGGCACAGATAACTGCACGTCACCACACGCCCAGCCTGTCTGCTGGGTCCCGCCAGGCCAGGGGTTCAGCCCACAGGTGTCCGAGCTCACACCTGCTAACCGCCAACCCAGCCACAAGGGCCTGGCCCATTGGGGTCCCATCTCCCCCAACACGCTCCCATCTGTCTCTGCTCATTTATGTGGAAAGCAACCCATTGCGCCCATTCCTGTGGTGACCCCACCCCATGCTGCTCAGAGGTGTGTCCCTGTGGGAAGGGCTGGTCACGTGGGCAGCTCAGGGTGGCTCCTCTGCCACCCAGCCAGAGCGCCCCACCCCACCAGGAACTTCAAAGGCGCAAGCAGACCCACTGGCTGCATGAGCTGCCCACCAAGAACCCCACGCCACAGCTCAGGGTTAAAAGGGGACCGATGGGGGGAGGGGTCTGGGAGGCAGGCAGCTTGGTGGGCATACAGGGTCAGGGGCCTTCAGTCATTTAAACCCTCACAGCTTAATCCGCTCTGTGTCCACACACCAGCCACAACAATGGGTACAGCTGACCCCCAGGAAGGGTCCAGGACAGCGGGGCGGTGGTGCAGGACAACCTTGCCCCATAGCCGACAACACTGTCCCTCCTGTCCCCGGCCCAAACAAGTAGCCCAGGGCCCATCCTCAGGTATCCCTTCTCCACCTGGAGCCCCCACTTCTGCCTGGCCCCTACCAGGCAGTCTCACCCTGGCCTGGGTTCCAGGCTCCTGACTAAATCCGTGGCCTAGCCCTCCCTCCTGCCCCACCACGAGGGAGGCCCCTTCCCCACCCAGGACCCTGCCTGACCCCCAACCCGGTCACTATCCTGGCAGATGCTGAGCTGCAAGCCTCATGCTAGAACCAAATCGCCCACCTCAAAAAGCTTAAAGGGGAAGCCACATGGCCACAAACATTCCAAATTATCTTTTTTTTTTTCACCGAAAAAAATTTAAAAAATGAAGCTGGGACAAAGAGACAAGTATATTTTGAAGTGAGTTAACATGATTCTTGTCACAAATATGTGCGTTTTCTGAGACCGAACACTGACGGGTGGTTCTGAGACCGCTACCTGGAGCAGGCAGCACCCCTGCCCACCGGCTTCCGGCAAAGCAGTCCACCACTCAGCCCTCAGCTTCGAGGGAAGGGCGGGAGCCGCGCTCTTTCCCACGACTGCCTGCGGGCTCCGTGGTCAGTGCTTTCCGCAGAGCGGCTCTGAGTTCTCAGAAGCGAGATGCAGTGATGACGCGGGACTCCTGTGCACGTAGAGCCCGTGAGGAAACACACGTCCACCGCAGAAGGGCAGAAGGGTGCGACCACGCAGAGCGGCGCAACCCTGCAGAGGGGCGCACGCGCAAGCTCATCTTCCACCCGCACGGAGGACGGCAGTTGGCGGGCTTAGAACTCCTCGTGCACATTGCGGGCGTAGTCCATGAGCTTGCTGCCCGTGAAGAACTCGCTGTACTTGAGCACCTCCTCGGGCTCCAGGTGCTGGTTCTGGTTCTCGTCGGCGATGGCAATCATCTGCTTGGCCTCGTTGAGGGCGTTGTACTCATTCATGGGGTCCATGTAGTCCTGCAAAGGCGCCGGCACCACTCAGCGCCCCCAGCGGCGCTGGGCCCTCGGCCACACTCGTCCTCACTACCTGGGTTCTGGCCCTACTCGGTGACACCGCCGTGGGCGCCGTCAGGAACGAACGCAGCTGGGCTTTCCCGCCATAGCCCGCTATGGACAGCGCTGCCTTGCTAACACACACACACACACACACACCTTGGCTGGCACCACAAAAGCTGCAGGACAGGGATGTGGGCATGTTCTAGAATGCACTGGAAGGCAGGTGCCAGGATGGAAGTGACTCAGGGCCACATGGCATCACCTCGGTGGGCACAGGTAGGGTGGAGAGAGGGAGGGCCCACAGGGCACGCAGCCAGTGTCCAGCAGGTCACACGGACTTGGACACGGACACAGCCTGACTTGGCCGCCAGGACCACGGCGCTGACAGGAATCCCTGGCCCAGACATTCCCACCAGCTATCAGCAGGGATCAGACAATTCTCGTGTAAAATGAAATGACTCATCCAGAACAGGAAAAAACACACTCCACAGTCACCTACACTGTGCAAGAGTGAAAACAGCACAGAGGAAGACGTGGATTCCAACCCCCACTCTCATCCCTCTGTGTAAGAGTCCAACCCAGACTGGCCCATGGGCACTGGCTTCTCAGAGCCAGGCACTCAACCCGGGGGACAGGCATGGCTGTCGTGCTGGGTTCCCAGCTTTCCTGCCTCAAATCTGTCCAAGCACGGCTGGCTGACTGGCTAGGCCCTCCCGGGGAGCCCATGGCCATGATGCCAGCATCTACGTGGGCTCAGGCCGGCTCCAGGTCCTGCTGACCACGTGACCAGCCACGCCAGACCAACTCTGCCTTCCTGGCTTGGGATCAGCTTGTGGGCAACTTCCCTTCCCACGACAGCCCCTTGCCATAGGCCCAAATGGAGGCCTCAGGGCCCTGGACCCATCCACAGGGGCACCCACACACACACTCCCAGTCCCATGTCCATCAGGGTACCCCTGTACCCCCCACATCCCTTGACATCCCCTCAGGGCACCCCACACACCCCAGAGCACTCCCATACTCTCCATGTTCCCCCCAGTACACCCCCTTCAGTCCCCCCAGGGCACCTGCACACTCTCCACACTCCCCCCAGGACACCCTGCACACCCCAGGGCACCCCCACATCCTCCACAGTCCCCCCAGGGCACCCCCACCCCCATGCTCACCTCCAGCTCTGCCATGGTCACAATCCCATCATGGTTGGCATCAATCAGCTCCTCAAACTCCTTCTTCCGGTCTCTCACCCAGTTGTCATCAACATCCTGGCCGCGCTGGTTCTCCACGGTGCCCACGGGCAAAGAGATGAACTCGGGCAGCGAGAGCTGCTTGTCGCCATCCTGGTCTGGGAGACACGGGGGGGTGGGCGCTCACACCTTGAGTGGGCATGGGACCCCGAGGGAAACTGGGGAGAAAAGTCAACCAAGCAGGTTTTGCTGCCAGATTTTCATTTGGTGAAAATTTAGCCTGAAGATAAACAGCTGTCCTCACAGGACCTGCTGGGAACCTGGCTGAGGCCAGACAGCACCAGCAAGGCCTAACCGTCCCTTGTCAGTGGCCACACAGCCTCCTGAGGCCTCCCAGCCCAGGACCAGCCCATGCTGACCTCCCGTCAGGAGGGTTAGTTGGATGTGGACAGCAAGCCCCACCGTCCGGGCCTGGCCTCACCCAGGTCCCGGACGATCTCCTTGACCATGAACTTGAGCATGCCACGGCTGTGCTCGGGGTGCAGGAATGACAGGAACTCGTCCTCGGTCAGCAGCAGGTCTGAGGGGGGGTTGTCCGCCTGGTACCAGCGGTCTTTAAGGTTCTCCAGGACTTCCTGTGCTGAGAGAGGCACTCCTGTGAGCATCTGGAAAGTTCCGAGACATGCTATGTGATTGCGGGGGCACTCGGGCACGGCAGAGTGCGAGGCCATGGTTGCTGCTCCTCTGAGGAGAGCGCAACCCCCAGGAGGGTGGACGATGCAGGCCCCTAGAAAACAGTGCCCAGCCCTGTGGGCCAGAGACCACAGCAGCTTCACAGAGCTAAGGGGGAGGGCGATGGAGGACACCGCCAGAGGCCTCACGCCCTCAGCAAACGGCCACGTGGCACAGGACAAACAGGGACAGCGTCACCGGCACAAAGAGGCCACAGAAACACTGTTGCACACATGCATCCCGTAAGAGAGATGACACGCTGGACACTGTGGGACAACAGCGGGAATAAGGACCCACTAATGAAGAAAGAACAGGAGACAACGGGCACCCCATGGCGTTTTCCATCACCAAGTTCCCAAGTTCCCAGGGAGTGGGGGCGGGGGTGGGGGTGGCACAGGGCTGCAGGCAGTGACCTGCGAAGGGCATGCATGTGCAGTGACAGCGTAGAACCCATCTGACACTCGTGCACATTTCCTATTGGCGAGGTGAGTCTTTAGGGCAGCGGTTCTCAACCTGTGGGTCGCGACCCCTTTGGGGGTCGAACGACCCTTTCACAGGGGTTGCCTAAGACCATCGGAAAACAAAAAGATATTTACATTATGATTCATAACAGTAGCAAAATTACAGTTATAGAGTAGCAACGAACATAATTTTATGGTTGGGGGTCACCACAACATGAGGAACTGGATTAAGGGGTCGCGGCATTAGGAAGGTTGAGAACCGCTGCGTTAGAGGCTGAGGGGAGGATCTCTGTCTTCCAGCCCAGCTCCCATCTCGGTGCCCCACCAACCCCACTGACCCGCTGGGTTCGGCCGTTGTCCAGGCCACAGCTCCTGGCACCTCTGGCTGTGCTGCCTCCTCCCCAGACCTCGAGCTCACTCAAGGGCACCAGCTGCTCCCATCCACCCGAGTGAGGCCAGCGTCAGTCTGGAGGGCCCAGGGGCTCTGCCTCCCACTCCTGCTGCTCGACACGCCAGCCGCCTGGCACGGCCCTGCCAGTCGCAGGGCCCTGACTCACTCTCCTCGTCGACCTTCAGCTCCTCGTTACTCCTCATCTTCTCAGCAAGTTCTCTCTCATTGTGGCCTTTGCTCGCCAAAAACTTCACCTTGTACTCGTCCCAGGACACGCGGCCTGAAAAAGCAGATCGCCGTGTGAGGATGCCTAACAACGAAGGTCTGTAAAAAGAGGTATTTCACCACCTTGCGTGATGTGTCTGTGAAAACCTTGTGCTTCAGGAGCTGCAGAGCAGCAGCACAGGGCAGCTCCAAACTGGCCGTCAGGGCCTCGGGCCCCAGAGACCGTGCAAAGCGGGCGAGGCAGCACCGCCAAGGGGCTCTCTGTCCTGGTCCCGGGCCTTTGGTCAGGTGGGGGCCATACCGTCGCCGTCGGGGTCCACGGCACGGAAGTGGGCCCTGCTCTCCTCCACGGCCTCCTGGAAGTGCTCGGCTGTCTTCTGCATGATCCAGTGCTGCATCTCCTTGGGGCTGATCCTCCTGTCAGCGTTCACATCCACCCTGCGGGTGGGCGAGCTGAGTCAGCAGGGCCTGGGCCCAATGCCCAGGCAGCCGTGCAGCTGCCACCAACAGTGACACGCTCCCCCCAGTGGGGACGGCAGAGACAGCTGGGGTGGCTGGGGCACATGGGTGGTCTGCTGCTCAGCATCGCCACGGGAAGGTGAACAGGCTCTCCCGACCTGGTGCACAACAGGTCACAGCATCAACCCAACTCCACAGACCCAGATGCCAGGGACACGGACCCAGGGCGTCTCCGTAACAGGCCTAGAGGTGAGACACCAGAATGCGGCCATGTCCGCTTGTGTACATACAGATGGCAGATGGAGAAACAGCGGAGATGCATGTGTTGTTGCACATGTACGTGGGTTAGCAAGCCTCATGTGTGTGCACCAGTTAGTGTGCACGTGTCCACAGGCTGGCACACATGTGCCACGCACATGGCCCCCAGCTTTGTCCACTGAGAGGACTACAGTGGTGACAATGACAGCAGTGCACACACCCAGTCCCAGGTCTTGGGCTCTAAGTGCCATTTTCCAGGAGAAGAAACCAGGGCTCCTGGGAGAAATGGCAGTGATACCACAAAAGCCTGGAGCTCGGCAAACAATGGTGGGGGACACAGCAGCCAAGTGCAGGGCTCCTGATGGTCAAGGCTGGAGCGAGGTGACACGGTGCTGGGTCATGACCAGAGGCTCCGACAGGCACCTGGGTCCATACGGACAGACGGCAGTGACTGAGCTGCCATCATGTGGGGGGGGACACCCTCTTACAGAACTCCCATACGACAGTGGGCCCCAGGGGGCTGCCTCAGTGACTGGCTGCCCAAGAAGATAGGAGAGACAAGCCAGGAGCGGCTGTACAGAGGAGGCTCGGGCGACACCACCTGAGCCAGGTGGCCCAGGTCCACATCCTGTGACGTCGAGAGGACTCAGGAGCCCCCACAGGATGTGACGAGAGGGCGGCCTTTCCTCTGAGTGCTTGTTCCCAAAACGCACAACCTCAGCGTAACCAGCAGTACACGCCCCAGACAAGTCCCAAATGAGGCACCGAACACCTGAGCAGTCTCCTGCAAACAGTCATGGCCACGAAAAACAGGGCGTCTGAGACACCGTCACAGTCCAGAGGGGACAAGGGAGACGTGAGAAGAACGCAGCATAGGACCCTGAATGGGGTCCCGGGGCAGGAGGAGGGCACGGGAAACACGGGAACCCTGAAGTCTGGGCGTGGGTGGCAATAACGTCACACTGCTATTGACACATGTGCCACAGAACGTGGGCCATTGCTGTTAGGGACGGGGGCTGTCTTTGCAGCTTTTCTGTACATGTAGCACCATTCTGAAATAAAAAAGCTTCCTTAAGAAATGTCGTGGGCCGGCCGAGTGGCGCGTTGATTAAGAGCTGGCTTGGGACACCAGAGGGCCCCGGTTCGGATCCCACATATGAGGGCAAGTGACACTGCCCTCTACAGCTAAGATGCTGAACAACACCTCAACCTGGAGCTGGGCTGCGGTGAGTCACCGGTGACGGCGTAGGCTGCAGCCCCTGTGGCAGTGGGTTGCCATGGGCTACCGTGTGTAGCCAGCAGCCAGCGTGAGCGGCCAGCAGCCACCATGAGCAGCCGTCCAGAACCCGGCGACTGATCTGCCTCACCCAGGAAGAGCGCAATGATGGTGCCAACTTGGGCCAGTGAAGCAACGTCCTCCACAACCAGACTGAAGAACAAAAGGACAGCAACTTGTCTGTTCCCCTTCTCTCAATTCCTCAGCGCTGTTCCCATTCCCCAATTCCCCAATAAAAATCTTTAAAAAAAAAAATGTCATAACATTACTTTCATTTGTTCTGAGGCCGCCTGTGCCTCCCTGCCGGGTCGGGGACAAGTGAGGCCAAGCACCCCGGCCCCAGAGCAGCGCCCGCCTGAGGAGGCTGCGTAGGACGAGGTGACCGCTGAGCGAAGAGGTGAGGACGAGTTAGACTCCCAACCCCAAGCCTGTTGGACATGGACGCACAGCCACAGGCTTTACAACACACGACCGAGCTCAGAGGCAGCTGAGAAGCCGCGTGCTGGCCATGGGCACCTCCCCTTGGTGGTGTCACAGCCTCCATGGTCCCTTTTCCTACATTTCTGGGTGAGCTGATGTGGGCACCTGAACCCCAATCCCTGCCACCAGAGTGGCTGCAACGGCAGCCCCATCACTGCCCCACTCTGAGCACTCCAGGCCTCGATGGTGATGCCTCCGTGCAGCGTGCACACAGCCAGCAGGCACCCTGGTCAACAGGGCCTCTGAGTGTGTGCAGGGGTGGGGTTGGTGGGGCGTGGAGCCTGGCTCCCAGGTGCACAGACAGAAGCAGGCCGTGTCCTCGGGTGGCCCCAGGTCTGGGCTTTGCTGCCCCACCCATCCCGTCTGTCGCACTTCTGCCTCCACGTTCAGCATTATGACACCACCTCTTTCCAACAACACAAGGCCCACGCTGAACGTTAGATCGTGGGCACAGCAGGAAAGCAGGAAAGCAACCGGGACCCTGTCAGGGAGGGTTTACTCCAAGCCTGTCTGCACTCCTGGTGCAGAGCAGGGCATGGGGACCGCTGGTGCCTCTGCCTCCCCACTGGGCCTCTTGCTCCTTCGGAGCTCGAGTCCAGCCCTGCTCCTGGCGCTGAGCTGAGCTCAGGGCACACCGCCCGCCTTGTCCAGCTGGCCCTGCCCGACCCCTCCAAGCCCCACGGCACACACCCGCCTGTTGGCTCTAAGGGAAGAGCTGGGCCAGGAGGGGCCTGCTGTCGGTTCACAGTCGAGTGTGAATCTGTTGGACGGGAACACTTTCCTTAACTCATCTTGTGACAGGTAAGGCATTCAAAGGTTCCGAGTTCCACAGGTACCTGGGGGCCCAGCTGAGCAGCCGCCCTCCCCCCAGAGGATGCCCAGGACAGGTCCAAGCACCTCACCTCACCTCACCTGGGTGTTTTCAGCCCAAATGTGGCCTGTGTGCCCTGCACCTCACCCAGGCCCACCCAAGGAGTGCAGGCCACTGGAGGAGGGGGCTCTCCGAGTGGCACTGGGAACCCAGCTGGCCAGTCAGTATCAAATTAAGGCCCCCCGGCCCACATGCACAGCCTGGTTCTAGACAGCCCATTTCAGGCTCGGCCAGCCTACTGTCCCCAGGCTTTCCCGCCTGCCCCCAACTGGTGCCCCCAGCTGGTACCCGTCCATTGCTTCACCCGGCCCCCAGAGCCCCTCAGGGCCCAGTGTGTGCAGCGCCTCTCCCAGCAACACTCTCCCCAGGAAAGCCCCATCGAGGCACCACAGAGAGGGGGGGACAGTGCCCCAGCCGGCTGCCTTCTGAGGGCCGGCTTCTGTCTGGTCACCTGCTGGCTCATTCACAGCTCCCCGTCTGCTCACCTGAAGCAGTGACTTCCCTTCAAAGGTCAGTGAACCATGTGTGTTAGACGAGGCTTCCGTGCACTTCACCTGCCAACCATCAGTCCTCACGCCTGCGAGGGGCAGTCCAGGAGGGCGCACCAGCAGGCTCACGGGGGACCGCTGCCCCACCCCCAGCCTGGCCCTCCCGCGGCTCCTTTTCCGGCTCCTGCTCTCCCCTGAGGCCCATCTGTCTGCAGCCCACTCCCCACATCTCACCCAGTGCCCAGACCTCACCCTCTACACCGAGGACCTGGCACATCTGCCCGACACTCCTCCTGAATCCCACGTGACGATGGGGTCCTGCTGTCTTGGCTCCCTCACAGGCACCCGCCCAACCCACCGGCAGCTGCTCGGGCCCCACCTGGAGTCTCCCCCACACCTGTCAACCCAGCCAATCCATCGGCAAACCCGGCCGCCCGCTTTCAGGAGCCCAGCCCCAACCTCTCTGGTCTGCTGCCACCTCGGCTGCTGCCACCTGGTGTCACGTTCATCCTGCCCCTGTTCCTGGTCCTGCTCCCAAAGGGCAGCATACCATGCCTGATGCACAGAGGACACGGCGGCGACAGGCTCAGGGAGCAGAGCTCAGCTGTCAAGGACCTGGTCCCGAGCGCCGCACCTCCCTCAGGTGGCGCCAAAGCCACAGTGAAACCTGTGTGTGCTCACAGCCCACGTGACCTGTGCATGTGTCACAGTGGCCAGATTCCCCTCAGTCTCCTTCCTGGAACCGAGAGCCACGAGTCCCGGGTCCTGGCACGTGACCCTGCAGGCCACATCACCGAAACCCTGAGAGCCTGGAACCCTCCAGGTCCGTGCTAGGTGGGGAGCCGCACTGAGGCACGGGCCCCCAAGACGTGCAGACCCTGCCCAGTCCATACTTTGTGCCAGGTGAGCAAAGCTATTCGATGCTGACAACCCCGGCTTGCTGTTCTCACTGCATGGCAGCCTTGAAGTGCCAAGCACGGCCCCCCAGAGCCTCCAAGCTCCCATCCTCTGCCTGGTCCCCCTGGCCCTGCTGCCCCATTGCCACACGCTCGTGCTCTTACCGCTGTTGTCACAGGACTTGCCAGACACACAGAATGGAACAAATCGCCAAGTGGCCCACCACCATGCGCCAATCAGCTCCGTGCGTCCGCTGTGACGTGAAGCCTTCCCCACACCTACGTCACTGCCTTCTGCCGGGTCTCGTCTAACTGGTATTGTGACACTGGCGTGAGGCCACCACGTCACCACAGCCCCACGCAGTGCAGGTGGTGCTGCCGTTTGGCTGCGAGGTCCTGGGTACGGCCAGGCAACCCCCTGTCTGGCCCTCTAGCCCCTCCTGACCCGGGACACTGTCAGCCCAAGCCCTGCAAACTTTCAACCAAGAGTACACATCATGACACCTTCCTCCAAGCACGTCACTGAGTGGGCCCTTGTCACCTCCCACACCGTGCCACACCAGGCCTGGACCAACAGGACAGCCCGCCCGGTGCCTACTTGGAGAAGATGACCATGAGCTTCCTCCTGCTCTTCCGAGGCTCCGCGTCCTCCTCAAAGCCGTCTGTGTCCTTCCCCAGGAAGACCTCCTGGTGGAAGTCCTTGTTGAGGTGCCCGTCCATCTCCAGCTTCACCCCGTTCAGGTGGTCTGGGGGCAGGATCTCGTTCTCCTCCCTGAGGCCTGCTCTCTCCCGGGCAGACGAGTGGTTGGCAGGCCGGGCAGACGCGTCCATCAGAAGGATGACCCCCAGGAGCCAGAGGTAGCACGGAGCCTGCCTGGACGCCATGGCCACCTGGGTCCAGACCGCAGGATGGCCTACAAGTGTGGCCAGGAGCTGGGGAGAGGGGAGAGGCAGGTGAGGCGGTGGGGTAGGGGTGGCATCAGAGCCCACCTGCTGCCAGGACACTGCAGGAGGGTGCTGCTGGGGGAGGCGCTGCATGCACCGGGGCCCTGAGGGGCTCTGGGGGCCGGGTGAAGCAGTGGACAGGCACCAGCTGGGGGCACCAGCTGGCTGGGAGCAGGCAGGAAAGCCTGGGGACAGTAGGCTGGCCGAGCCTGTCCCCAGCATAGCTGAGACCAACAGCCCGAGGCTGCCAGACCCCGACAAGCAGTCGATGGTCACGACAGGACACAGAGCCGCTGCTGGATGGAGCCCAGCAAACACTTCCCCACAGAGACATTTGCTCTGTGATGCAAAACAGAGTCCTCGGTTTCCAGGACCCACGCGAGGCACAGCATTAGAGCCCTTTTCAATGTCACTGGGTCTCCCACTCCCATCCCTCCTGCTCGGACAAGCCCGCCCCTTCTCAATGCCCACAGCAGCCTTCCCAGCACGGCCTGTCTCCATTCCTCCCAGCACCACAGCTGACCCGAGTGCTGGCAGCTCACTCTCCAGATCCCAACTCAGCTCTTGTGGGTTCAGTGACCTTGGTAAGCCACCTGAACTCCCCGGCCTCAGTTTCCCCCTATGAAACAGGAAGCTCCCTCCCCCACCCCAAGGATTTGTGAGAACTGAGCCTGGGGCCAGGCAAGCACCCAAACCCACCCAGCAGGACACCAGCCCTTTCCCACCTTCCTATCTGAATGCCCCCTGTGCATGTTCTCACACACACACACACACACACACACACACAGAGCACATGCACACACATGTGCACACACACACGCGTGTACATGGGCACACACACATAAGTACAAGCACACATGCACACAAATCTATACACACACATATACAGACACACATGTGCACACACATACACATAGGAACATGCATGTACACATGTGTACACACAGGTATGTGCACCACACATGCATAAGGTGCCTGTATGTATACGTACACCCACTTACACACATGACAGACACACACACACACACGTCCTTGCTCACGTTCATGCAGGAACACCAAGGAGGCCAGAGCACCCAGAAAGTCTGTCATCAGGGCCTGGCAGCAAAGGAACAAGGCCACCCTTCTGTCAACATCACTGGGTGAGGGATCCCACAGCCCACAGGCACCCATGCCCGGCACTTGGCCATCCCAGCCTTCGCCCACACCTGCCCTTCCACCTGGACTCCGTCTCCGAGATTCTTCTACCTCCGAGCCGGGAACAACGCCTAGCTCCCCACACACACCTTCACGCTTCACATATCCCAAAGGGAACTCCAGCTCCTTCCTGGCCCTGTTCCTCTCAGTCTGCTCACCTGGCAAACACCAGATGGTCCTTCCAGGTGCAGCTGAGGCCCCACCTCCTCCGCTGGTCTTTACAGGGAGGGGCAGCAGACAGAAGCCCATGGCAACTGGGGCCGGGGGATGGTGGCCCTGGGCACACTCACCCCAGGCCTGGGTGCCCTCTGCAGCCAAGCCGGAGTTTGAGGGCTTCGGCAACCAAGTGCACTGCATCAGGCAAAGCACAGCCGCCACACCACAGCCTGAGGGCGCAGGAGCAGGGCCAGCCGTTCCCCCAGGCGGTCTGGCAGCACTGGCAGATGCCACCGCTTTCCTCTTTGATGCCTCTTTCCAACCCCACCTTGTCCTGACTGACCCCCTGACAAGCTGACTCCTTCACACGTTAGTCTTCTCGGCCCAAGCGCCATCGGGCCCTTCAACAAGATCTTGTTCCCTGGATGGTCACATCCCTGTGCGGGAGTAGCTCCCAAGGACAGCGTACATCCCTCCTTTCATATCTGTGAGGTCCCGTGTCTTCCCCACACATACTGGAGCCCACCAGCTGCCCCCTGAGCCACGTTTACTGGAACTCCTGTTTGTCACCCATCGAGGGCACAGACTGTATCTTTCTCAGCTTCAGTGTCCCAGCACCTACCACACACGACCTGCACACAGTAGGCACTCAGGGAGCCTGAGTGAATACACACAGGCAGCTCTGCTACACAATGTGTGTGCTCCCGGGAACGTCAGCATCCTGCAAACGCACACACTGAACCCACAGGGCCTCTGGAGACGCTAAAGGACAGGTGACTCAAAACCTAGAGCCCAGTGGGAAGAAATCAGAAAGTGGTGCCCCCACAGCCCCCGCAGGCAGCTCTGCCTGGTTGGGGGGGGGGCGTGGAGGTGATGCCAATGGGGCTACGGTTCAGGGGACCTGGGAGAAAGTGCAGCCAGCAGTCACGGAGGAAGGGAGCCCAGACGGACGGATGGACACAGGGCTCACACCTGTGTTCCTTCTCAAGGCATAGGGTGTGTTCCTTTCCCGCAGGGGTGGAGTTCTATTCCTGACATCCCAGCTCTCCCGGCCAGGAAGGGCTGTGCAAACCAAGACCACTTGCTCCTGGCGCTCCCATCACCGCCCTGACTGCAGCCATAAAAACGTCGTGATCAAACGGACTGTACTTTGCTCCTTGAAACAACAAAGTCAATTCTTGAGTCAACTTATCTAGATGGGTAGAACACGGAATGTTATATACAGGCTGCTTTGCACAAAAAGTAACCCAAAATAACTGCACAGCCATCAGGAGGTCCATGAGACGTCCTCCCCTCCGTTCGCAGGATGTGCCTTGGTAAGCCCGAGACGGCTGCAGAGGCCAGTCACCTGCTCACTGCCGGGTCCTCCGCCTGCCCCGACAACGGGGTTTGGAGAAGCAGAGCTCCGCCCGGGCGGGGAGCCCACCCCGAGAGCGTCGGTTTCTGGGAGCCACCCCGGGACTCCGGCTCAAGTGGGAGCCATAGCCTCGGCCATCACTGGGCGTCCGTCCTCGATAAACTAATTTCTTGTCTCCCCAAACGCAAACGCTCATTCTAAAAGCTGTTACCGGCTCAGGGGTCGCACTACCGTTGTGGGTAACGACTGCCGCCCACTGAACCCGAAGCGGAGGCAAATCTTCACCAAGCCCTACCCGTTAGGGGTCACGGCCCACCTTCCGCAGACGACGACGGTGAGGTCGCCCCGCGGTGAAGGCGGGTCCACCGCCTCCCGTGACCGCGCGTCCCGGGCCGTTTACCCGACGTCCGCGGGACAGACCAGCGGAGTCCATGGCCCGAGGGCGCGCGCGCCCCACGCTGCCCCGGAGCCCCGTCCGCTTCCGCGCCCCCTCCGCACGCCCCGCACGGGTCCGCACTCACCGCACGGGATCCGCCGAGCGCGGCCGAGCGCTGTGACGCTTCCGACCGACCTCGGCTAGGCCGCGGCCATCTTTCTTCCGGGAAGAGGCGGGCCTCACGGAGGGGCGGGCGGGCGCGACCTCCGCGCGGAGACGCCGGCTCCGCCATCTTCCCTCCT